ATTCTGCAGCCAATCAGACAAATGTTACCAGAGTATCAAAAGCCTTTGACTGATCAGAATGGCTCCCCAGCCTGTTGTGGACACCAGCATATTGCTCCGCTGACCTGCTGCAGTCAGAAGTCCAGCCCTCAGCCAGGCCCTGCCGTGGCGGCCATCTGTCCGCCCTGTAATCCTCCAATCAGCAGCCGCTCTGCTGGCGCCATCTGTGCCGCTCAGAAACAGGCCCGATGACGCTGCTCGGTTGGACAGAGTAGAACAAAGAAACATTTAGTGAATCTTAATCCAGTTATTGACAGAACTCTATTTGGGGAAACGCCAACAGTGGATCAAACTCAACCTGATTGGTCGTCACGGGGGGTTGGGGGGTATCCGTTAGATTAAAGCCTGATGAGCTTCAGGCTTTTAAAAAGTGCTCAAATGCTCAGAAGGTTCACTGGTTATTGCTTATTATGGGTTTACTTCTAACAGATTGTAGTGCGTTTGCTGGTGTGTGTGTGTGGGGGGGTAGATAATTAGTAGCTAGATCCAACCTCTCACAGATCTTTTTTTTTAGCCCTCCACAGACTGAATGTCATTATCAGGTGTTGACTCCGTCAATATGTGCAGGTACTCAGTGAGAGGCTCTTCTTACTCACTCATTCATATTGATTGCGCTCATCAGCTATTCATTAAACACCTGCTCGCTTGTCCTGCCTATTACACCCATGATTCCATCAGTCTTTGAATGTTTAACACCTTTCTAATTCCCCGCAGCTGCTTCAGTGCGCTGTTTACACAGCTCCATCATTACTGGGAGGCTAGCTGTTAATGAGCCGACAGCAGCAGACGCCCACAACTAATAACCGCCTCCTTCCAAATGGCTGGAAAGACCTTTTCTCTTTTCCCCACAGCCTGCTGCTAACCTTCATATCTGCCTTATAGAATTGATTTTTCATAATTCTTCATTTGCTTCCATCAAGGCAAATAGAAAGTTAAAGGATTTTTTTTGCAAAAGAAAAGTTTGAACATTTTCTCGGTCAAAAAAAGGTTTTTCTAATTATTTAATTTATTTTTAAATTTCCCATTTTCAGATTATATTTTAACAATTTCCTTCTTTTCAAAGTAGTTTTCTGGATCACATTCACTTCACTGCAGAGGGCGGGATTTCCTCCGAATAAAAAGCATAGATGCATTTCTATTGGTCTGCTGGACGTTAGCAGTTTTTATTGGTCCAAAGCGAGCGTTCGGATTGGACGCGAAGTGAAGAGAGATTAACGCACTTCAGAAAAACTTCTCAAAAAGAGTATTAAAAAAAAAATACATATTTTGAAAAGATAAAATCCATAGAAACATTCAATGTAAAAAGGAAAAAAAGAATAAAAAATCTGATTAGAAAGTAAAGTTACTCTGTAAATTCTTTTTTATTATTTTATTTTTTTATTTACAGTTTTATTTTCATTGACAAAATGTGCTGCAACAATAATGGAACAAAATTCCCTCCATAAAAAAGAAGGGAACAAATTAACAAAGAGACAAATGTAACCAAAGTTGGGAAATTTTCAAATCAGACGACAATTTGAACCTTCTGGTCTGTGGATCTACCTCCTTATATCTAGAATGACTTATTGTTTCACTCCCGTCATTCGGTACGCCCTTAATAAGATGTGAAAACCTGATTATCGTCTTCTAAGCCCTCGGTTACGCATACAGAGAAAAAACCTCACCC